AGATTTTAAGGAGGAGGGCCTGGGCTGAAGCCCAAGTTACACAATAAAGTATCTATAGAATTATTGATGACCTACAAAAATTTCCAATAGAACAGAGGTAACAGAATACCTAGTTATTACAATATTGACAAAAAATAAAAGTTTTCATCTACTTAAGTAGTTGTTGAAATTATATTCATAATACAAATATACATTATATTCTTAATATATCACATAACACTTAAATAGGAATTATTAAAACTGTATAAGAGTAATAAATAACAACAGGATAATATAACTATAGAACACATTTTTATTTAAAAACAAATTGTATTTACTTTTACAACTTATACTTCAAGTATTGAGTATCAAAAAATACATTGCAGTACCACCTAGATATATTTGTATACAAAGAAAAGTCTTAAATACACTGCATCATAAGCTTTAATAATATTGAATGCTCTTAAAAAAAATCCGAAATATTTGCCACAAAAGCCTCCTCCCCCTATTTGCGTTTATGTACTCATTTGGGACTGATCAACGGTAATATGACATAATTAATGAGGTGATTAAATATTTTACCTTATAAATGTGCAGCGGTATTATTGTATTACTACTATTTGTAGCTTAAAAATAAGCAAACAGTAATTAAAGCGTTTCCAAATTTTTTGAAACACCTTGCATATATTATTTTTAATTAGTAATTATATGTTTTTGTTTATTACGAGTATGTTAATGTATGAGTACGAGTCTAAATTATTTATATTGTTTTCACTTTTAAATGTTTGCTTAAACTTATGGTAAGGTTTTTTTTTGTACCCCTATGTTCGAATGAACTCAAAGCATATTGATTTTTTAGTTTTAAACAGTCATGGTATTTTTATACAATATCTTCCATTTCCTTATCCTTCTGTTATTTATATTTTGTTAAATTTGAACCACGTGTTTTGATATAATCATTTGTTTGATAATTTTTAAGATTTCTAAAAATTGAAAAATGTTTGAGTACAACATCCAATTCAACTTAGAATTAAATGATTCACATGCATTACAGTATGAATTGACGAGTTTCAGATTTCTTTTTCATACTGATGGCTGAAATGTACTTTCTTTTGGTATTTAATAAACTGTCTTTATATAATAGTGTAGTCATACCACTACGCAGGGCCGTATTTACAATTTTGGTGCCCTGGGTCAACCATAATTTTAAGCCCCCCCCCCCCCAAACCAAAAAATAGATCCACTTTTTTGATTTTTCTTAACACATTTATAGTTATAATTCTTTATGGTTAAGTCATGGTTGTCTATCTACAACCGTGGTTATGTTAAAATAATATTAATTATATTCTATGCTAGGCGCTAGCACTTATCCGTTATCGTTGCACTGTTAAGTACTCAAGGGTCAAGTCACAGTACAAATTTTTTCCAAAAAAAAATATTTATTGATACAATATTACACCGAGTTACGGCGAGGGGCCCGGCCACCCCCTAAATAGATCAATATTTGGCCGCCCAGGGCAAATGTCCCCATTGCTCCCCCCTAAATATGGCCCTGCCACTATTTAGGTTAGTAACTTTAGTGATTGTTCCAAATTAATCTACGGCTAAATTATTTGGTGATATCTACAGTTAAAGTATAGAAAAGCCTGGTCTAAATAGTTTCTAATTTATGATGTGGATAAACTATTATTGTGGAAGCAATTTGGACCTCTAGTTGACACATCGCGGACATGGACCTACAGCTGACAAATTTTGAACACAACTCAGTTGTCTCAATATATATGTATTTTTTTTCCTTGGTCAGCCCTATATATTATTCATATTCATTCTTTTTTAAAATAATTTTATGCAATTTAAAGGTTGCTCTAACATGTAATAGTCATGAATCAATTGGGCAAGATCTTGTTGCAATGTGTGTTAATGATATATTAGTTCACGGTGCTGAACCTTTATTTTTCCTTGATTATTATGCAACTGGTCGATTGGAAGGAGGAGCTGTTGTTCAAGTTGTCAAAGGCATTGTAGATGGTTGCCGTCAATCCGGATGTGCTCTCATAGGTGATTATTGGTTATGACTTATTCATATAAATAAAACATTTAATTTCAATTTATTTTTAGGTGGAGAAACTGCAGAAATGCCAGGTCTTTATCGAAATAATGATTATGATGTAGCAGGTTTTGCTGTAGGAGCAGTAGAGCGAAATAAGATTTTACCTCATATTGAAGATATTGTTTCTGGGGATGTTGTTATTGGTTTAGAATCAAGTGGTGTTCACGCAAATGGATTTAGTTTGATTCGTAAAATAATGGATATGGGTTGTCATAAATTTACAGATGAAGCCCCTTTTAGCTTGGAAAAGAAGACCTATGGTAACTTTTAATTGCTCTAAGAACTACTTTTGAGGAACCTCGTATTAAATTTTCATGTTTTTTTACTTAGAAATATATGTCTCATTATTTACTATTAATAAAAAAAAACTAAAAAAAATGTCAAAATAATTTGAAAAATGTCTCTCTAAAAAAAAGCATAGGTGTTGGTATCTAGTTTAGCTTGATACAATTTGCTAAAGGAAACCTTCAATGTTGAATTTTTAATGCTTCTTTACATAACGGCGGACAAAAAAAATACATCATTGTAAAACCAATTCTCAGAATCTAATATTAATAAGAAATGTACCTAATTTTTAATCAGCTTAAGTTTTATTTGAACAACAGAATTTTGAGTGTATTAAATAAAAAATTATTTATACCAAAAATATTGTTTATTACAAAGAATAAGTATTCAAAATTGTATCATTTGTATTGATAATAGTTATATATTTCTTAAACGTTTAAATACATTTTTTAGGTGAAGAATTATTGACTCCTACAGTAATTTATGTTGAGCGTGTATTACCTTCAATAAGAAATAATAATATAAAAGCATTGGCTCACATTACTGGAGGTGGTTTAATAGAAAATATTCCACGTATTTTACCAAAAAATAAAAAAGTTATTTTAGATGCTACAAAATGGAATATACAGCCTGTTTTTGGTTGGATAGCTGCAACAGGTATAGTTAATATTTATTACATATTAATTTTTGTCAATTTTTAAGTAATTTATGTTGATTAATGTATGTAATTTGGTTTTATAGGTAGCATCAATGAAGCAGAAATGTTACGAACATTGAATTGTGGTTTAGGTATGGTATTAATAGTTGATAAGAAACATGTTGAAGATGTTCTGTGTGCTACAAATGGTAAAGTTGTTGGCATAGTTGAAGAAAAAATGTCTGGTAAGTTCCACCACTGACCAGTCCACATAATATATCGAAAAGTATATTTAACTTTTTGTAGACTGCGTAACAATACATATATATAATTTAGAATAAAGAGAGCTCAAAGTGTGAACTTTCATTAATACTTGTAGACGAACAACCAGTTGAAGTGAAAAAATTTGCAAATGCCATGGAGCCTTTGATGCGTCCTCATATTCAGACCTATGTGGCATCTAGGATGCATCCAAAAATGCGTGTAGCTGTTCTTATATCAGGATCTGGAACTAATTTACAGGTAAACCATAGTCATAATAAATACTCTTTATAATGCTCAATAAATTCACAAATCCCTTGTTAATAATTTTTGTTTTTATTTTTAATGTAGTCTTTGATTGATGCAACTACTGATGACCCATCTATGATGTCAGAAATTGTTTTAGTAATTTCCAACAGACCAGAAGTCGAAGGTCTAAAACGTGCCAGACGTGCTGGTATATTGGCTTTGGTAATATATTGAAAAATTATACTTTGTAAATGAAAATGTATTTAATATTTATTTGTTTAGGAAATAGATCATACTAAGTTTAACACACGTGAAGAATTTGAAAATGAAATGTTGAAAGCATTAGATCAAACACAAGTAGATGTTGTTTGCTTAGCTGGTTTCATGCGCGTGTTAACAAATAACTTTGTGAACAAATGGAGAGGTCGTCTATTAAACATACACCCTTCACTTTTACCTTTATTCAAAGGTCTTCATCCTCAAAGGCAAGCCCTTGAATCCGGTGTACGAGTTGCTGGCTGCACAGTCCATTTTGTAGAAGTAAACATTTTTATTTTATTTTTATTTTTTGTTATATACATTTATTTGTGAATGGAATTTTTAGTTAGAAATTGATGCTGGAGCAATCATAGTACAAGAAAGTGTGAACATGAGTTTAGATGAAACAGAAGAAAGTCTTATCGAAAAAATTAAGAAGGTTGAACACATTGCTTTCCCAAAGGCGTTGAAACTGTTTGCTACTAATCAAGTTTATTTGGATAAAGATATTGGTAAAGTAAAATGGTTATCAAATTCAAGCGATGTATTTAGGAATATTGTTTAAATAACAATGAATTACTTTTACATTATTTTATTTTTCCATTAGATTTAAATATATAATTGTTTCTGAGTACACTTACAATACTTAAACTATTGTTATAGAGTATGTTTTGTGTCTAATTTTTTTATCATGATACCATGTATTTAAAAAAAATTATTTGTTGAATTTTTTACACGTGTCATTCTTTTGCCAATTTTGTAATTTTTTAGATTCTACCGATTTAAATATATAAAAGATTATTGTTTTAAATTGTAATATTAAGTATGTTTCAATAAATAAAACTATTATTTCATTTTTTTTTTTATTATTATTTATATTTAACATGATTTATTTAACATTTAGTAGTGTAAATAATCTTACTACTGATTAATTTAATCAAATATGATGGGATAACGTTAAATGAGAAAAATATTAAACACTCATAGAGGTTTAAAAACATTAAATCTCAATAATAAAATTTAGAATATCAAAGTGTATTTATTTTCCTCGTAATTAGCATGTAAAAGTATAAGTTGTTATTAATTTATTATACTGTCACACAGTATACAATTATACTACTATAATTCAACAATAGTTATTCCTTTAAAAATTAAGTGAATTACAAATTGTAAAGTACACTACATAAATAATTTAGTGCTAAACAAACAATAAAACATAAGTGCATAACCATAGCAACATAAAATATCTTATTGCATGTTTTATCTATTCTCACATATGATTAAAAATCAAAGATTATTTTTTGAATAAAAATGGGAGTAAGTATAATATAATAATATAGGTAATTAATCACTAAATTTTTATTTTTAAATGCTACTTAATTTAATAGGATTTAAAAGCAACTACAATAAAAGATGCAATAAAAAGTTGGGAAGATGAAAATAAGGAATCTGCGAGTGAAGCTACAAATATTTGTTTACAATTTCAGTGGCCACCGATTGAAAAAATGGATAATAATTTATCGGTATTAACTAAATGCGAGTATGTGTCATTTATTAAAAATAATAATAATTGTTAAATATTATATATTTTGAAGATGCAAGTGTTAATATTTGTTATAGGAAATTATCATTAAGTACAAATATGATTGAAAAAATAAATGGTCTTGCTGCTCTAAGGCACTTAAAAATTTTATCATTGGGACGAAACTATATTAAGGCTTTTACTGGACTTGAACCATTGGCCGATACTTTAGAAGAATTATGGATATCTTATAACTTCATTGAAAAAATGAAAGGGGTTCTAGGCATGCGTAAGCTAAAAGTCTTACACATGTCCAATAATAATGTTAAAGAATGGGCAGAAGTAAATAAGCTTGCAGAAATGGAAAGTCTAAAAGACTTTTTATTTGTTGGTAATTTATTATTATGTACTTATATCATATTGTCATTCAAATTCGGTGTATAATTGTAATATACTTTCAACAGTTCAACTATACCACTATTTACTTTTAAGTAGTGCTAGGATGTTAATGACCTAAAAAATACACAAACATGCACTAAAAAAAATGCAAAAATGACCTAAAAATTCTAAAAAAATGTTCTTAGATGAACCAAAAAAATTTTAATTTTAAAATAAATATTATTAATTATTAATTATTATTTATTCATTAAATCAAACAAATATATTCAAATTTGAGTTGACTTGTGAATTTAATTAATTATATTACTTTTTCGATTCATACCCAATTCGCCGACAACTCAGTTTGCTAACAAATTTATTAGTTTTAAAATATTTTTAATATTATTTTATTAATATAGTTTCAATTTTCCAGATGACGGTGACAATATATAAAACTAAAACGGGTATAACAGCGATAATATTATGGTATGTTGTCAATATAAGTTCAAAGATACTATTCAAAGTACTATAGGTGCTAATTGAGATTAAATATACATTACATATTAAAAAAACTTAAAATAAACAAAAATTAGTTTAAATACAAAAAATGAGCTTAAAAATACAATAAAATGCATCTTAACACAGAAAATGCAAAAAATACAAAATAAAAATTACACACTCAAGAAACAAATTTAGTTTTTGGTTAGAACTTAGAACTATATGGCACTTAAAGAAAAAAAATGCAAAGTCACCAAAATCCTAGCTCTACTTAATACTTAAAAGTATTTACATCAATTGATCACAATCATTGTCCGATTATATTTTGTCTCATTTAATGCCAACTTTCCACTGTAATAACTTTTACATTGGATAATTTATATATTATTCATCTAGAATTTAGACCATTTGTCAAAAATAAAACTATTATTAATGTTACTTAAATAATGTGGGTTGGATATTATGCATACCTCCTTCTATTTAGTTTTGAATTTTATCTATTACCAAACGTATTATTCAATTATTGTCCATATTAATTTTGACAAACGTGCACATATTTAACAATTAATATGCGATACGATTTACAATGGTATCGTATAAATCATTTATGTACGTATATTATACGTTAGCAGTTCATATTAATTTATTCAGATAAGGTTTGTAGTTATAGAAAAAAATAATGTTCACAATATCCTTTAATTAATATGACATTAGCTTATTTACAGCCATTATCTTTGTTTAACCTCATTAATCATTATAATAAATAGTTACAATTTTCTTAGGAAATCCACTTTACGACTGTTTGGATGAATCTGTATGGCGTAGCGATTGTATTAGAAAGCTTCCTAAACTAGTAATATTGGACGGAGTACCAATCATAAGGGATTAAAAACATCTCAGTTGAAAACAAGTAAGTCTAAATTTGCTAAGAAGTAAAATATTTTGTCTTATTTAAAAAATAAAAATGTACCTATGATTTATTATTAAGATGCTGGATTAAGATATTAATCACTTGAAGTTAAAAAGTTTGGCGCGTTGAGTTAATTTATATGTAATATTTGATTATTTTTGTTATTAAGTTTCTAAAGTAGGTATATAAGTATAATATTATTCATAAACCATGATAGTTATAGGTAGGTACTCAAATGATTTGGTGTGTTATAAGTGTTTTTTTATTGAACAAACAAAACATCGGCGACAACGGCCATTAGTTGTTGTAGTTACATTGGTTGCGCGTGCAACTATTCTTTCCTAATAAGTATTCTTAAATATAATATTTTATATTAGATCAAACAATTCAGAATTCCTTAGGAAAGTAAAAATTTAGTAGGTAGTGTCTACGTTCGGTGCGAGTGCTGGATTAAGGACGTTAGGAATGTTGAGTTTGCGAATTCCTCTGTGTACTGAAGGCATTCTGTGAAGTGTGAGGATATGGTTGACTGATAGTTCGGTACCGCAGGTTATGCTCAAAGGTTTTTCATTATAATAGATGTTATGAAATTAATTAATCTGGCATTGTGATTTGTGATACGTGAAATAAGTTTTTAATTTTATCATGTTTAGGTTCATGTTCACTTAATTTTTGAACAAATCGTCTGGGTGGATCATAGTTCGTCTGGATGGATCATAGTTCGTCTGGATGGATCATAGTACTTATATTATTTTAAATATTCACACATTATTCACATTATTTAACGAACAAGACTAAAAGAACCCAAATCGTAATATATATTGTTTATTAAGTATAAACATAACCTACACAATGCCTATTACAAATTCATTTTTTTTTTTATTAAAGGATTCATGTATAATATTAAAATTGGTTAATTATAACTTATAAGGATAAGTATGTACATTTTAAGTCCAAGTAATATATATAATATATATATGTGTGTATGAACTTTTTTTAAAATTAATAATATAGGTACCCACGGAGTGATCCATTTAAAGTGAGACACTCGGTTTTTCAGAAAACACTAAACTTTTGTTAAATATTTCTTTTAGATGATTTTAAGTCGTTATAAGACAACGTTTATGAAAAAAACAATATTTTTTATTTGTTTAATTTTTGTAAGATTTTTTACGATTTTTAAAGGCAGCTTACATTTTTTATTTCATATTTTTAAACAGAATATTATTCGAGGTATTTCGATCCATAAAAATCAAATTTTGTAAGTACTAATAATTTATTAGTTATACATTATAAGAACATATTTAATGTTTAGATGAATGGAGTGGGCACTATACTAAATTATTATCACAAGATTGTGCGTAGTCCCCTAGTCTCCACCCATCAATGCTTTAAGTATTTGTAGCTCATAAACCATACGAGTCCAAAATTCGATTTGTATAAGCGATCCAAGAACTCCAAAATATATTATGCCTTGGAATGAAAATTAAAAATGCATGTTGTCATTAAAAAAAAAAAATACATTTTCAGAAAAATTGTGGTTGTTAACGTTTCAAATGTATGTAAAAAAAATATTTTCATAAAACGTTAATTGTTTTTGGAAATTGAAATGATGAATGTCATATATTGTTAAATAATCACCGGTATAAAACTCATTGATAATAGGATTAAATATTGCAATTTTTCATCTATTCAACTACAATTTGAATGCCTCTTTTGTATTTATCTTTATAAAAACCTTGCAAATACTGGTAGCTATCCTTAGTGTAACACTTTGCTTTCTACGAGCTTTTTTTTAACATCGTTTAAATCAATTTTACTTTTAATTGTTTTCTATCTTTATTCGTAAGGTTATTTTATTAAAAGCCATCATTTAATCACTTATTATACATATATTTGTTACTAATAATAATAATATTTTGCCACAATTAATTAATTAATCCTCTTCAATTTATTTATCAAGATATATTATCATATTAAAACATAGGTATATATATAGGACTTATGCCTGGGCGCCTGGCCTATTATAAAAATTATTTTTCAATTATATTATTATCATGAAATTATTTATCATATATCATCATTAATTATTTTTACTTAAATTATTCTTATCAATTATTACTTCAAAATTATATCATCTATTTTAACACAAAATTATTTTATATTATCCTATATTTAATTTTATTTTCGGTGACAATATATGCATACACCTTTGCCAAAGCTTATACGATGGACATATGAAGTACCAAAGGAAGAATAGATTTAAAAAATATTACACAAAAAAAAATTACAACTTACAATACAATGGCTGAAGCTTTTCTTGGTTCCATTGTCGTTATCTGAGTGCAGTGGTATATGGTAATATAATGGTACATGTCGCGTACTTATAGGTACTTTACTCACAGTTTCTGAATTGGGTGGTTAACTTTATTCCTTAACGGTTGCCTCCGTGTATTTCCACGAAGTTGAAAAAAAATTCTACTTAGGACTGTTAGGATTGAAATCCTACAAATTGTGGCAAATTTTTTGCGTGCCTCACGTACAAACAATTGTGAATGAAAAAGCAAGTAGTTATGTTGTTGAGAGAAGTTGAACTTAGAACTATTTTCTGTAACAGTTAAACCAGCTAGTACCTATCTATCTTCCTATTATCATACTGGGCGCCGTAAAGATGCTCGCTCTAAGTCTGAGAAATCACGTCTGCAGAATGTAGGTAGGCATTCAGATCCCCTACACTGCCTAAACTAACAATAACACAAAAACAAAATACCAACCTATTAGGCACTTGGCACGTATAATATAAAATATACACGATATACCGAAAATAAATGCGATCGCAATATATATGTCCAACTGACCAATATTTTTAAAAAATACATTGGTATTTAATAATAAATAATAAACTAATAACAACTATATACGATACATTTATATACCTTGGATATTGGTTTTAGTGACAGGATCACATAATAATGATACAGCCAACTTGTAACCTCGAAATGGAAGTGTTTTATACATTCCCGGACATCTTTTTTTTTTAGGAATTTTAGAATTAATACAATATTTAATAAGTTAAACGTAATGTGGAATAATTTAATAATTATGCCGGCAGTATGTGAATAGTAACTAAAATTAATCAAAGTATAGAAACTGCTGCAATTTCTACACTAAGTAGTTATTTATTTTATATAGGTACCTGATACTACTATATTACCGATGAATTTCCAGTCGTAATGTCGAATAACTCTTTTCATTTTAGGTGTGCCCATACGCATTATGAGTATGTACATTGTACATTATATATTTTAAGTACCTATATTTGGGTGTGCCTGACGTGTTAGGTATAATTATATTATACCTACTAAAGTGCCTCTATCAAGATACAAGGCACTCTATATATAGATGGTATAATATACTATGTAAGTTTTGTTACCATTGTTCATAATTTTTTTCTCTCTTCAGATGATAACATATTTTAGAACAAGCAACGGGTAGGTATCAATACAAAAAAATAATTTATATTACTCGAGTAGGTACAAACTTAATACATTATAAAGTACTAGATAAGTAGTTATGTTTGTACATGCATAAATAAAATACATAATGTATATACATATATATATTACTATAGATGTCCCTCCAGGCTGTTTCCCATGCTATAAAGATTTGCTTTTTTTATAAATATATTTGTAAAAATATACTAAGCTTATGCCATATTTCTACTAATTATAATAGAAATTGAATGATGAAGCATATTATATGTCCCACCGTCACTTGGTTTTCTGTACTCTCCAATATCAACAAATATACATTTATAATTGGCATCAGTCATCAGATACACTTTGTAGTACGAATGTACGATACAAAAAAAAATGTTTATAATTATAATTTACATAGTTTCAGTGTGAGTAGGACTTCGTAAACGGTTTTGTTTTCCGTCTATACAGCTAATACAGTGTAGGAAGTTCCATTTCACATTAAACTCATTCGCACATTCGCTATACTTAAAAAATCTTCTGGAGTTGGAATAGATAAATGTGTTCTCGATAGTCTATTCCATATTGCGTCACATATTATCTACTTCATATATAATTGCACCAACTGTAGTATTATGCATTTTAAAGCAGAGAGCTAATACTCGAAATGGCATACCAGTTGATAAATACTTGGAAATTAAAGTACGTTAAGTTATCTTAATTAAATATGTATCAAACATTATTGGAACTTTATTTTCGTAAATTTTAGAATTTTAAACTTTTTAGCCGAAGAAGCGAATAATAAATGGGAAGGTTTAAGAGACATGCTTGGAAAAGAGTTTAAGTAAATGCCTAAACCTAAATCTGGAAAAGGATTCACACCATACTCCTCAAAAAGGCCATATTTTAATCAGTTATTATTTTTGAAAGATATATCGATAATTCGGACCGAATATTTTCGGTCCGGCCGGTTCAGGTTAAATGGATACGCGGCTTTAAAAGGGATGCTTTTTAAAAGCTAATAGTATAGGTATTTCCAGGCTGAATTTTTTCAATAGTCCACGTCTACCGCACTGCCCATGGCTGATGGAGAAAAAAAACGTGAAAACGATTAGGTACATTTAATATAATTGTAGTGGGTATTATCTTATAAAAAATAATATTAAAATATTTTATTTTATGCCATATTAACGAAGCTATTATACCAAATACCAATATAACAACATAATACGAATAATATAATATATACCATATACGTATCATTATATATGTGATGTATTATTGGCATGTCCAGGTCTGTAATTGCGTGGAAATTAGAAATGTAGCTAGCTGATAGTCGATAGACCATATTTTAGTATTTTTCTTAGTATGTTGTTCGTTGGTCACTAACAAAAACAATATACAGTAGTGCCCATGACAAAAAAAATAAATATACTAAATACATATATTTTGTCATAGTAGTACCGAGCATCGACGTGGAGACGCGTGACGTACTGAGTATAGTAAAATGAATAATTATTCATTTGTACTGTGCATGCCACATAGTAATGCACTAGGTCAATCGTCATATAAAGGTACACCTGCAGGTTTACAACCTAGAACAGTAGAACCTACTTCATAATACAAATGAACATAATATTATATCATTGGTAGGTAGATAGGTATATTGTACATACAATAGGTATATAGTAAATTGCCATAACTCATAACCTAATAACAGTCTTAACCTTAAGATTCCGAAACTGTGTAGAAGTTGTATATATTTTCTACATGCTTTCTCGCTTATAATTTATAGCATACCAAACTAGAAAATCATTCTACACAATGACAAGTTTAAAAATCAAAAATGTTAAATAGGTACATATTTGGTTCATTTTAAAAAAAGTGGGTAATTAATGTATTCTTTAAAAAAATCGATGTTTTCATTTTGTGATTTATGTATTATAGTAAGCATTTGATAAAACAATTTTTAATACATTTAAAACAATATCACAATGTTCACAAATAAAAGTTAGGTAACAAATACATAGTTTTTGCAATATCGCAATATTTAATATTTTTATAATTTTACTCATTTAACATTTTTGCTTACATAATATATACAGTATACCTACCTATTTTGGATTTTTTATTTCATATTATGTTCAAGCTCATAACGCCTAAATATAGAGCCCGGAATTATGTGCATTTGCATTTTTATTTACAGTGCGTATGCAATACGCATATATATATATATATAGCTAGCTATAATATTCACTATTCAGTACGTTTTTGCACGTTGCAAGACTAAGTTTCATTCTCCCCAACGCATGAATTCAAATACTAAATTGTATTTTGTATATTTTGCAAATTTGGAGGATTATTGCACATTATTAGTTCATAAATGCATATACCAATACCTACTATGTATATTTAACTTAAAATAAATAAACAAATTAAATTTAAGAGGATGTCACGCATTTGTATTCCCTCTCTGACCAACATATATGATGGAACATTTTCGTCCCCAGTTCAGTAGAACTATTCTTGTGTTGTTACTTTGTTAGCTTCTAATATTAATTAGAACGAATTATTTACTTATCCAGTTCAAAATCAAAGATAAGATTGTAAAAATATTTTCTCATGACCGTGCCACGGGGATAAGGGAGGAGCAAAAGCTAGGATAACGGTTTTCAATCATTTATTCATTTTATATCCGAGTACCATGCCTACATTTACCTAACAATCTTTTAAAATCCACTGGGGAGTGTCGAACACCCAGTGGTTATCCTGACAAGGGTTAGGGGGTTGTAATATTGTTAAATAATAAACAAATGCTATGTTTGTAATAATTATTTTCAGATAAAATTTTTCAAAAATAAATTACAACCTCCCCCAACCAATAAGTACCTATATTTATATTCTGATATTCATATCTACTAGATACGATATAGTTTCCAAAATATTTACCTATTATTGTGTTCTTTAATATTTAAACTAAATAAAAAACCTATATTTGGCTATTCACACCTTCACCTGTATATACCTTATATGCGTCATATATTAATAACAGCTATTAATATAATAATAATAGTATTATATAATTTACGCAGTTTGTTTTTGGCAAAAATTATTTCAACTTACTTTATTATTTATAAAAAAATTAATTACTCGTTCTATTACTATATAGATATATTATAAAATATCGTATATTCTAAATATATATTGGGTACATTTTAATTATTATAATTATGTTGATAATAATAATAATAAAAATTAATATTAATATTACAATACATTGTAAACCTTGTTATAGTATTACTTATTTTATATATTTAAATATTTAAGTATCAGGCATCAGCTATCACAATAAATTATTACTGTAACACTATAATGCTAACTATACTTCATTAGAGTTCTTAAACTTCATAAATTAGTATATAATGGCCTAAATTAATGCTTAGTTTATTAATTATTATTATTGTAATATTATAGAATTATCTAAGTGTAGTAGGCAACCTAGTAGATAAAATTGTATGGGTCCCAACCACGAGCATGTATAATTACTAATTAAGTATATATATACACGATTTGTCATCTTAAATTTTAATATGTTTTATGTTTGCTAGTTGGATTTTTCACGATATTGCAAATATTGTTAAAATTATAACTTATGAGTAAATGGGTAATTATGTAAAATATAAAAATTAAAAAATGCTCATACATGATTTAATGAAAAATTAAAGTTATGAATTCAAAGAAAAATTTTAATATCATAAAAATGCAAACGTACATATACAGATACTGTTGTAAAGTGTGATAATAGGGCAATATTCACTCTTAAAAAGCACAGCGCGAGATTGCAGTCTACAGATTATGTTGAACGTAAATATGTTGTGAGCCAGAGAGAGAAAGCAAATGGTGCGCTTGCACATTATCTTAAGATAAATTAATTTTACTAAAAAAATAACAATTGACATTGCAACAATGTTCGACAGCAGCTGGTCGTTATTATTTATGAAGATTGTATAGAATATTACACCTATTAATATTTGAGCCAATTAAAAGTTTGTTTTAGTTTAAATTACTGTACTAGTTTTTCGTATTGTAAATGATAAAATGTTTGGTATGTAATGTATGTATATATGCCTACATTGATTCCTGGTGTAATATTAATATTTATTTTTTAAATAATTGTTTATCAATTATCAGGCAATAATTATAGCCTATATGCATACCCGATATTGTATATCAAGTATAAATATCATGGACAATAGAACCTATGTCTTTATACCATATAGACATAGTATATACCTAGTAATTACTAATTAGTAGGTATGATAAATATAATGCATAGTATCTATAATTATATATTTAGCCACTTTTTCTTTACATACCTACCTAATATTTTCATTATATATTTTGAAATTTTTAAAAGCATGATTTAATTCTGGATTCTATTCATATTATTCATAGAAGTAGTATGTTGAACTGTGTTCATTGGGCATTCAGCACACATTAATGACGCTATGTGCTCATTATAATTTAAACATTTATGTGAAACTAATTATTATTACGAAATTAATTTTTTTCCTTCATCTTACAGCGGATTATTTCGACAGACTGGTGGACGGAACCGCCGAACCGGGGATGAGAAAAACATGTTAATAATTTTCAATATTTAGTCACAGTATGCTCAATAGGTATGTAAATTGAACAGTTTTGGAACAAAACCCACAGAACTTTTCAGTTTTAATTGTATCCACAATGTCATAAGAATTAGACATTAGAGGTAGAGGTAGGTACCCGTCGGCCATCATTATGAATTTTCTAAAACAAAACGTATGACGTGTTTATTTTGTATTTGTATATTATACTAGGTAAATAATAATGGTCGGTTATTATATAGATACTTTACTATTATAGTGTTATTACTTAATACTAAATGGTAAATATAATTCATAATATTATATGATTAGAATAGGTAGGTTATTACCCGTGTCATAAATGTACACTGTACAATCTGGAATACTTTACGTAGATGTTAATAATAATTGTTAAATGCTTTTTAAAATGTAACACGCAAATACGCAATATCATTACCTACTTAATATTAGTATTCTACAATTTTACCATGTTTCATAATTAATCATATTTTACTATTTTAGAATTGAGTTGGATTTATCAATTAATATTATAAATAATTAATAATTGACATAGGTAATATTCGTCGTTAAATTTTAGTAGTGGTATCACGGCGTTCGGGCGATACCACCGTATAACATAAAAACAAATAACAATTATTTATATAGCCATGGTTTACTGGTTTGTGCCTTGTGGGGGTACTGTAAACTGTTATCTCCTGAATCGTCCGAGTATCGGACTCGGATTTCAATAGCTCGAGACTCACTATTTTTACAATAGGGTATTACTGTATGAGGTTTATTGTGTTTATCGTTTATATTAATGCTGATATTATAAATTATAATATTATTGTTTACCCACTTGCTTTCATGAACTGTCTTTAATTTAATTGGAATTTAAAAACGTTTCGTTGGTGTTGAAACATAAATACTCAATTAATATAATAGTTATTACTTATAACTTATAGGTATTGCAACTTGGTGGAATTCGGAAGAAAATTAAATTTGCACTACTAATATTGCTATTAGTCACTTATTCACTTTCTAATTGTAAGTATTATAACAAATAGTCAAATATCGTTGGTTGGATATTTATTAATTATTACAAGGTTTTTAACTAACTCTTTTCATTGTTTTTTGAAAGGTTTTTCCCATTCAGCAATAAATATGTTTGCTTCAATGTTTAAATCACTTCTTAATAAATCTGTTATTGATGCTAAGAAGGAAACAACTGCGGTGGACTCTGAAACAGTTAAAATTACTAAAAAAGATGTCGAAGATATGCTAACTGGATTGGATGAGATCAAAGATAATTCAGATAATGATGATAATTGTTCCGCGACAAAGGATAATGTTACTGAAGCTATTGAGTTATTGTCTATCACTGATAACCATCCATTGATGGAATATTTAAATGATAGTGCTACATTTGACAATTTTGATGACACTAAAAGTGAAGTTAGCTCTATTGGAGAAAATCAACTAGAAATTCCTGCAGTTGAGGATCCCAATATAAAAAAAACGTTGAACCAAATTAATAGTCTTCAGTGCTTATTTACGTGGAACATAAAATCAAAGAACAAGAAAAATTTAATTTTATACATCCGGAATAAGTATGGAGATTATAACTTAAATATAACTTCATCTGAATTTACATTAGAAAGGTAGGAACGTTTTAGTAAATAATTGAATAAAATACTTAGTATTAAAATTGAAAATGAATCAAATACGCTTTAATTAACTAATCATTTATGGCAGTCTACCTCAACAGGTAACAATTAGACACTTCCACGTCATATTCAATATGTACCTCATTATCTTCATTCATCACCACAGTGATCATTTCTAAAATCAGTTTACTTCATACCTATTCATAATTTTTAAACTAGCCCATTAGATACTTACTTCAAAATATATAAAACTACTGACTAAAATATTATTCAAAAAAATGCAAGCAACCATCAAAATTACTTAAACAAGGACTCAAAAGATGGGTAGTGTCTACCCAATCCCTATTCAAATTAAAATAAAAAATGTAAATGATTAACAACAGTTTTTACATTCTATCAGTAGGCTTTTTTTTAAATCATTTTTTATCTGTTTTTTCTCATAGTTTTATATCTTTCTAATAGTTGTGACTATTGTTCTTAGTGTAACACTTGGTCTATCTCTATACATTGTATAATGGGGTAAAAACCAAATTATAAAATGGTGTCTGCTATATTATGAAGGATTCAATGTATTATTAGTAGTATCACTATTATCATAATTGTTTGCTTTATTTTAAAAAAATTAATAAAATTGGGTGTTATTTTATTTCTCATATGGTTTAATCCAACACTAAAAGTATTAAAATTGGTTAATACTATAGCAACAACAAATATTACAATAAGAAATATAAATATAAAATTTTAATAAAATTTAGAAACATAAATTAGTAGTTATTAGTCAAATAGATAATAGTAATAAAATAAAACAATGTAAAATATATATGAATGATTGGAAAGTGAGTTGGGATACTATTTGTTGAGTCTTAGATTTTAATATCCAGATTGGTCAGCCATTTTTAGTAACCTTGTGGAGGTGTTTCATTCCGCCTTGTATGTTGCGTACTGGACAGTCTTCCACGATGTAGTTGGTTGTCTTGATTATCATGCCCGCAGTCGCATTGTGTTGTATCCCTAAGTCCCCATTTATACAGCTTATTTCCCATTTTTAATGACCAGTTCTAAGTCTTTTTAAGGTCACCCATTCCTGCCAAGGTATATAGGTAATGAATTTCAAAAATTCATTTTTGGAGAGGGGTGAGTCAGGTTAGAGGACGGTGTTTGTTTAGAATAAATGTATTTTAACTGGTTGTTATATGATTGTAAACTTTTAAATTAAATAAGTAAATAATTAATTTAATTTGATTAAATAATATTTATATTTCTTACTTAGGTTTATAGGTAACATAATTATTTCTTATGAACTATTTCATAAAGGTGAGTCCGAATTAGCCCAAATGAAAATATTGGAAATTGGGACTTGGCTTGAAGATTTAGATAAAGGTACTGATGAGTTTTATTTATCTATTAAAACTGGTCTTCTACATGTTATGAAGGCAACTTTCATTCATATGTTATTTGCTACTAATCTTACTGGAGAATGTAAATGGGTAAGCTAATATTTTTAATTAGGCATTATTTATTTATTCTCATATAATATTCAAATTTGTAGTATGCATATTATTTTAAATATTTGTACCTATAAATTACATTTAAAGTTTAAACCACAACCAAACACTACTTTGTGTATAATATTTTCCACACAAAACCAGTGTAAGTAGCATAATAAACATAAACAACTAATCAAATTGGTGTTCAGAGGAACTGATTTTGTGTTGTTAGTCTTACAATTTTATATTTATGAATTAATCTATTATCAAACTATTTGTATGTCACCATTTTTATGATATTTAGATTTGTTATGCAAGTTAGTATGAGTATATTATATTAGAATTTTAAAATGTTCATATATTGCAGTACAATTGTATTGAATATTAATTTGAATTTCCCTAATTTGAATGTTTAACACTTGATTAATAATTTGTTTAAAAGAAATACAGTTACATATTTATCATTATTATTAATTTTAATTTGTTATTTTATTTTTTTAAATACATTTTTAAAATGTCTAAAGGAACCATAAAAAAATTGTAAAATAGAAATAATAATATATAATTGGTAAATAGTGGTTTATCAGGTATCGGATTTATTTTAATATTAGTTTGAGGGTTTTTGCAAAAATATATTTGTGTTAATGGGATCAGTTATCGGCTTTACTTACGTAGCATATTTGGATTATTAAAATCAGTTAAAAGTGTTATTGGACCATCTCTACTTAAAATATATATAACTATCAGATATCATAGATAACAAGGATACTTGAGAAAAGTATTGCTAACATTTGAATATTTGATAAAGCTTAAATTGTGAAATAATATTAACTTCCTATTCTACTGATTCTCAATTTTTTTAAATGATAACTCAAATAAGATATTCAATTTTTTTACAACTCCTTAAAATATTTTCTTTTAATTGTGCATAGATTATAATACCATGTGTTGGTGATCCTGTATTATTATTTATTATTAGTAGGCAACCACGAGATTGAGAACTACAATACTATATATTTTAAATAGAAAAAAATTGTTTAGACTAGTCGACTAACATGTGGATTTATCTATCATAATTTCTTAAATATCAGTTTCTATTTTTTTTAGTTATTAGATGATATTGAATCATTTGCCAATATGGATCCTAAATCAAGAGCATCTGTACATGCAATACGTGCAGCTGTCTTAATTGAATATGGTGGAAATCTTATCTATTTAAAAAAAGCTTGTGAGGTGGCAAAGAAAGCATGTGATTTAGATCCTAAAACTGCTTATTGGTTTTATATTTATTCACTTGCATTGACAGCTCAAAGACAATTCTCTCAGTCACCTAAATCAACTCCAGCTGAAAATGAAATGAATACAATTCATCAAGCGATTGTTTTGTTTAATGGAAAAAATGCTCTTTTCAATTACCATAAAATGGTTCTATATAGAGATACTATAGTTGGAAATTATCATAATAATAAAAATAAAAATGATAAATCCTTTTTAAATAAAAATCTAAAAGAAAACAAAAAAATTGTTCATATGATTAAGTAAGTAAAGGATTCAATTATCATATTTTTAAGAAATTATTTTTTGTTGTAATTTTCTAATTATTTGAAATGATTTTGGCATTTGGGCATTATATATCATTGCTTGTAGTATGAATAACTACATATGTATAAATAGATAGATATTATTTACTTCATAAAAGAAATAATATAATATGTGATAAGTCTTTATAAAAACATTTTGGTCTAATTTTGATTGAAACTCGTCACTTAATATTAAATTTTAAATTTGGCATAGAACTTATTTCTAAATATTTTACAAGAGAGTTTTGTAATGGTTTCTTTTATATTTATTTGATATATTTAATGTATTTTTTTTTATTGTTTTAGAACCATAGTAAGCATGAATCCAAAAGACCCTCACTTGATAGTTAAGTGTGCTAGAATATTAATGACTCTTCCAATTATGGTTCGTGATTTTAATTTGGGAAAACAATATTTGACAAAAGCCTTTGAAATGGCACCAAATGATGCCACTGTCTTACAAGCAATTGAGAATACAGTTCAAGCATATAAAGCTATTGTAAGATATATTCCGAAAATGTATTCATGTAATGTTCTAGTTAATAGTTTTTTTTTTGATAATTTTAGTCAAATAAACAGAAACCTAAAACAAGTGTAACAAAACAAAATCAACCTCCGATGAAGAATAAGGCATCAAAATTAGGAATAGATTTAGGGCTTATAGTGAAAAAACAAAGAAATGGAGAAGATCCTGTCCCTTACCTAACTAATTTGCTTTCTAAATATGATGGACTCGATAAATCAAAAATTATGGCTCAGCTTTGTTCTTATACAATATTATTCAAAAGCAACCTAAGATCTGGTGTTGAACAGTTTATTAAGTTGATTGAACAATCAGATATTGTCAATAATGATATAATTACAGTAAGTATTTTTTTTAAATATATCAATTTTAACTTGTACTAAATATTATTGTCCACCTAACTTACAAATTATCCATCTATTATATGTTTTTATTGCTAATAAACAAATTAGAAATATATTTTTAGTTATACTTAAAATATATAAGTAATGAAAAACACCTTTTGGTACATGCAACTTTGAAGGTGGTTTCTGGTAGTAAATTATATCTAGCTTGTACATTTGGATGTCAAAGTTATGATTTGGCATTACTTTTCAAAATAATCAGCAAAATTGATAAATAAGTTGCTTGTGATTATTTTCTTTTTTAATAATTCAAAAATTGAATCTTCACCAAGTACATATAGCATTTTCCAAGACCATGATATAAATTTCAAACATTTCAAGAATTATTTATGTTAAAAAAAAACATTCTTGTAAAGCTTGAACATTTAACATAAGATTCCTTATAATTTACACTTATAGAAATTATAAAATTTTAAAAATGCATGGTTTTTAATATTTTGTAAGCTTTTGAACTCCATCAAAATTATCAAAATTATCAAAATTAGCAAATTATATTGTAGTTAAAAATTAATGAAATTCTTAATTTTAATATCCTAGGCCAGACGTTTCCTAACTGTGGGTCACATTATGTTTTCAAATAATATATTTTTTAGATATGTGTTTCCATTAATTTTCGTTGATGTTTAAATTTAGTTTTATCATAAATTGTTATCTGAGTTTGTCACATTTACGAATTAACTACGATTGTATCAACTCGACGCAATCAGATTGGTAGTTATGGAAAAGATAGCAATTTATTGCTATAATGCTATAATTAATTCCTTGATAAAAATTTAATAATAAAATAAAATGTTCTTCAATTCAAAATGATTCTTTTTTAAATTTTTATTTGTAATGGCAAAAAAAGGTCACTGATGTTATTGTGGGCCTACTGGGCCTCCAAAGTTTAAATAATTTCCAAAATGGGTCGTACGAGTTTGGGAACCTCTATCCTAGGTTTAAAAATAAATGTAATATGAAATTCCTCATCAGTTGTGTTATTACTAAAATTAAAACAATGATTAACATAGTGCTTTTATCACTGTTGAAGGTTAAAATGTTGTTAGAAATTGGATATTTAAACAATAAATATTTATATTCATGTCAAAATCTATTTCATACTGTTCTATGGTAGTACTGACTTATTAGTTATTATAACCGTCATACGTGATGTTATACTATTATTATTATTATGTATATAATTTATTTTTTTTGACAAAATGAATTCAACAATCTGTGTAAAAGGTACTTCTTAAGAGTATTTTATTTTTTTCAGAAACATTTTTCATCATTTGGTTCAAAATCATTTAATTTATCAGAGCTTATTTGTAACGAAATTAGATTGGCCACAAATTTAAGTGGCACTTCTTCTGATGATTTACTGTATTACTGTAAAATGTTAACTAAAATCATAGAAACATGTAATTTAAAAATGAAAGATGTTGACTCATCTATGAAAAGCAAGCTCATGGTTGATTCTTCAGTTAAATCTACATTTTCAAGTACATCAGTGCGAAGTGAAACTGAATCATCAGATAATGAGAGTATTAATAAAAATAAACCAAAAAAAAATCATAAGGCAAAGCACTTGCAAAAGACAGGCCCTAAAGTTTTTACACACAATGTTGAATTGAACAAAGACGCAAAAGTTACAATTAATGCCAATTCTAAAAATAATAAAAATGATTCAAAAAAACCGCAAAATAAAAAACCGCAGCCAAAAGCAAATGATGTTAATCAAATGAAAGTTAAAATTGCAAAAGTTTTAAATTCTTCTCACGGAGAAGGGGCTGCACTATCCAATAAATCAAAGGATATGACTATAGATGATAATTTAGCAATGCGGCAAGGAATACAACGTTACACTCAGCAGTTATATCAAAATATTTTAGCCAACACTCAGACACGTTTTAATTCACCTAATGTATCTTCTACTGAGCTTAATAGCTATTTTAATCAAAACCATGCAAATTTTTGTTCACCAATTCAATCAAATCCATTTCAGAATCCATCTACAACACCATTACTTAGTCTAAGACCCCAACTAAGTCCACAAAATCCAAAACCTAAACCAAAAACAAATTTTGTTCAGTAGCATTCAAAAAAAAAATGAGTTGAGTTTATTTTTGTTTTTAATTTTTTTTCCCTAAAATATACAAGGTTTTTTTTTATTATAGTACTAAGAAATTAAATTTATCTATGATTATAACATTATGTTGTTGTTATATATACATAATACATTTTTCAATTATTTTTGTATACTGTTTCAATATTAAATCACAAGTTACTTATTTTTTTTGCCATTTGACTATTATAATTTTATAGATATTCAGTTATGACAATAATATTATAAAAAAAAGTTTACTAATTGAAAATGTACTTATTTTTTCGTACACTTGAACATTAATAGTTAAGTAACATACTATTTTAATTACTATTTTATTTTTAGTGTCTACATGACAGTAGTTGAAATAAAGCTTTAAATTTTCAACTTCACTGTTTCTTCTGATGAGAAAGTGAATCTAGTTAGTATTTTTAAAAGTTTGAATTGAAAATTCACAGTAATTTTATAAAGGCATCAGGAAAAACAATACGTACATTTAAAAAAAACACAAATTTTTACTCAAAACCAGTTTCTAACAAAATTGTTTTTGTTTTTCGTAATCAAAGAAAAAAATGGGTGATAGAGTGAACTGAGTACATCTGCTGTACATCAGATATAGTTATAGTCACTGTAATGAAATTGTTAAATTTAAAACAAAGATATAAAATCAATGTATTCAAAAAACGATTCTGAGCGAAGACGGTTTGCAACCTATAGTATTACTAAATAGGTACATTTTATGACGTACACACCGAGGGAGAGCAATACTAACAGCAGTTCCTCCCTCGGTTCTCGATAACAAGTCAAATAAAAGGTATATTTTATGATATTACTGTGATTAAAGTAATTTATTTTACTATTAGGCACTAGTACTACAGTCAGTCACGAATCCAGGGGACCTAGGGACTTCAACCCCAGTGGCGTATATAAGGGGGGTTTGAAATTCACCCCCCCCCCCCCCGGCACTCATATGAATTTATTTAATCAATGTATTAACTCTAACAGCGAAACACGGGATGATACAAAAATGAAAATTGCAGGTGAGACGTATTAATAAAAATAGTTATTCACTTAATTTATATGAAATAGGTATTACTAGATAATTAAAATAATGACGGTCCGTCGTACTAACCTCATGCGCTTTATACGTTCACTGCGCGGCTTATTCACTCAATTTAGCGATTGGAAGATCTTGAACCACTCCTATATACGAAATTCTATTGGTTCAGCTTCGAAAATTAATTTTTTTCAAAATTCTTTAATGAGATCTGAAGTATTAAAATAATGTTTAAAAAAAACATATTCCAAGTACCCAACAAAATACCCTTATAAAAATGTGTGAAACACGTTGGGTAGGTCGTCACGAAATTATGTAAAGATTCAAAGATTTATACGAAGTTATAGGCTATAGCTTATGCATTACATAATCTCGAAAATAATCATAATATAGAAACATCACAACTAGCTTTTCAATTACTTAAGACTCATCGCTCATCTCCATTAAAAATAGCATTATCATAGAAAAACTTTTTGCATTTACACTGCCATTATGTAGGTAATGCATTACAAAAAGTAAAATGTGATTTATCTGAATGTTATGAAAATGTTAAAAATTGTATACAGGTTTTATCTTTTACTCGCATAAATGCCGATAAATATTTTCAAACATTGTTTTTAGAAGTCAAAGAAAAATTGAATGTATTGGATGAAATTACTCAAATACCTCGAATAACTGGGCATCAATTGTCTTGTAGTAATACATCAGCTGAATCACTGGACCAGTATTATATACGAACAATGTTTATACCACATCGATTATTTTAAAAATAGAACGATTATTAATAGAACGATTTTCTAAACACAATAAAATTATTTCTGTACTACGAAAATTGATTTCAAATCTCCTCAACAAGTTTAAACCTAGTTATAATCAAGGCTGTAAATTTAATGCACTTAAAAACTTATAATATGCACTAAAAACTGACAAAATATGCTCTAATTTTTCAAAAATATGCAACGAAACCACAAAAATTTAACTTTTATTTTTTTCATTATAATTTTTTATTAATTTTAGTTTAAATATTAGTATCGTTACATATTGATATGAGTATAAGAATTGTTGGACGTACTAGTCTTGATCTTCGTCTTCTACAAGATCTTTAAAAGAAATAAGTTTAAAATAGATTATATTTCTACTTAAAATTATATATTTTAAGTAGTTATTGCATTGTACAATCAATGATTTCTTTGGATTTCAAACTTGAAAGACCTAATGTTTGGTACCCACATATTGCTATATAAAGAAAAAGAGAGTTCTACGTCCGACGAAGTTATTGGGTCTAACTTGAAATACGTCATGTCGCTACCGGTTAAATCTTCTGGTATATCCAAACCTACGTTCTCTTTTTCACCAGTTAAATTTTTGAAATATTATGCATAATTTGAAATCCTTTGTTTTTGTTAAAAACTGCTCGTTATTTGTTTTTAATAGCAGTTCCAGCTGTACCTGTTAATTGACTAAACTTTATCGAAATATCTTCTACAATTTCAGTCAATAATATCCGAGTAAAAATAGAATAGGTAGTGTCTATGAAACTATAAAAGTCATAGTTTATACAAATAAATTTAATATTTTAATGTCGATTTAGAACATATTGACCGAAAAAATGTAAATATTAAGAAAAAAAGCATTTACACAAGAAAATTATTAAAACATACATTTATATGCCCTAACCCATGAAATATGCAAAAATATGAAAAATAAAATTAGGTATTTGAACTGTAAATAAGTCAAAAAAAATTTTTGCCGAGTCCATTTTATTATACAGTGTAGCAAAAAAACATGCAAATGCATTAAATTCACAGCTCTGGTTTAAATGATTTTGAAAAATGTATAGACTTTATGTACATGTTTTTCCCAGGTACAATACATTTGAATCAGAATTAAAAGTATGGATAGAAAAATGGAAAAAATGTTTCCTAGAATGAGTGTCCAAAGTCTGTTATTGATACTTTCAATAAAGTATCCGTTGATTTTTTTCCTAATATATGGTGCTTGATATCAATATTACTTATTAGTTATTACTGTTATTAGTTATTACTGTTATTAGTAACTTCACCGGTATCAACAGCATCATCGGAAAGATCATTTTCAACGCTAAAAAGATTGAAGCTGTACTTGAGAAATAATACAAGTCAAAATTGACTAACAGGATTAGCCTTCATGTCAATTTATCAGCATCTATTTCAATAGGGACTGAAGAAGTGATTAATAATTTTGCAAACCTGCCTCGAAAATATAAGTTTCTAGTTTTTATAATTTATTATTAAAATAAAGTTGATTTATAATAATAATTCAATAATTATTTTTATACCTCCCTCCTCCCCCCGAAATTAATTCTTATATACGCCACTGATTGGCCCTCTCACCTCCCCGACCCTCTTCAACAGTTATTTCAAAACAAAACAATTAAAATATATTATAGTTTAATATTGTTATAGGTACCTCATTAACATTAAGTATTAACGATTCCTAATCCAACCATAATACAATTAATAACCATTTCTTTCATATTTTCGGGAACACGTGAATTTAAGCATTATAATTTATAATGTGTATGTTACCTACGGTCAACGGTGACAATTTTTATATTTACGTTAAAGCCCGACCAATGTCGAAAATTATCTTGTACAATACAAATTTACGTAAATGACCGGTAATTTACGTAAATGGCGATACATAGTGGTTAATGTTGTAAACACGGGTATTTTTTTATTATTTACGTCAATTCCCAACTCCTGTTACATACGGGTCACTGTTAAGTATCACTTATTTATCTACACACATTAGGTACTACGTTAGTAGGTATGTATTATTTTTAAGAATATCATTGATAATCAGCGATAGTTACTCAAGTAAACCATAATAATATTAATATATTATAGCTGATGGCTAAGTTAAATAATGCCGTGCTTATTTAACAAATTATCAAAGGTACCTTGGTAATTTGTTTTATTGGATTTTTTTTCCCATAACGTATTTTAGCTATTTAAGTTTCGTTGCAGACATCGTAGACGTTTCATATCGCTTGATTCGCAGTTCGCCAGTTCGACATTTCGCAGTTCGCGCGTCAGTTCACGTTTTATTGCATTTTTAAATATTTACTTTTTATTTACATAAAATATTAAGTATGGATGTAGATACTATGCGTAGTTACTACGCCATAGTAAATTCTACGATTTATTTAATAAGTTGATTAGTCAAAAACGGACTGACAATAATATTCCTATTTTAGTTTATCGGAGTATAGTGACCAAATTTCCAACGTTAAAGAGTCGAAAAAAATATTAAGTACTAAAGGATTGAAAAAATCGGTAAAAGATTACAGGATGGTTCGCAAATACGAAATATTAATGGTTAATGGAAAAAAAAACGTTTGATAAAACAAGTATCTATCCAGAAAATAATAATATATTATGCTTTATTATGTATCAAGTGAAGATTTTATATTATATTAAGATTATATTATATTATTGATAATAAGGCAATTATTAAAAATTGTAGTCTGTAATTAATTTTATTTAGGTAATTGACCAACAGTCAATGGTTAATAACGTTAAGATTCGGTCATTGAGGTAAAATTCTTTTATTTTATTTTGTAATTTACAACAATAGGTAACCTATTATCTTGGATACTGACGTTATTGCCCGGTAGTTAACGAAAATAACCTACCGAATTGGCTTCTAACGTTAATGACCGGTTAATAACGTAAATATTCAATTTTCATCATTGACCGTAACATGTATATGGCTTAGAAGTAATTTTTTTAGGAGGTCCTTCCCCCAAAATTCTACCCTGGATTTGCTACTGATTATAGCGAGTAGGTTAAATTCATTTTTGTCAAAAAATTGAATTTGAAAATGTCATAGTATGTATAGCGTATAAAATGTAATAATGTTCCTTCTCTAAAAGTTTCAAGTACCCACAAATAATATTTTGAAACTACAACAAAATAACTAGAGTTGTTATTCTTAGTCTTAATATGTAATTTCGTCCAAATTTGAACTTAAAACGCCCATAAAAAATTACTGTGGATTTATTCTATTTTTTTTATTTCCCCTAACTACTTACGAGAAACCTTGTATGTCGTTTTCAAATTTGTTGACTGAGCTAAAATTTTTTCATCAACATTATTAAAAAAAGAACTAATAATCGAAAATGTCATATGCCTATATAAGCAGTTTAACATGAGTCATAATATTCAGAAAAGGTAAGATCTACTAAAGCATTATTTCTACTAAATACCTTGTACATAAAAAAAACCATCATTGTCTTAAGATGAATACATTCATCGTTCCGCTTAGAATCTAAAAATAACCGTAAATATTTACATGAAACTTTCACCGAATATTTATCCTAGCATTTTCCATTCATTGTACAATTATTAAAGTTATAACGATTAGCATAATTTTTTTGCAAATATATAGATAACCATTCGTGCTAATTTCAAAACCTATAAAATCCTTCCCCTTCAAAATCAAAAATACATCAATGACGCGGACTGGGTAAGCAACAGGTCTCGCCAGGGCCGTCGTTTAAAAAAGGTTGACATTTTTGTTGACTTTTCATTATACTTCACACATGAATATGCATGCCAAGGTTTGAGGATCGCACCACATTCATTTATATTATTGGGAAAAATTCAAAAATCCCTACCTAGTATCTAGTGATATTTAAGTGATTACATTCGTATATTAAAATAAATTTAGTAATTTTATTGTCGGTATGATAGTTAATATATTGTGTAGAAGGTACATGAAGGCTTATGAGTTATGAGGAATCTTCACCGTTATAGATTATAAGATTTTGAAGTGAATAAGTATAACACGATCAGGAGGGTTAGGGCCTAGGGGTGCTTTGCATTTGTAACACCCTCCTGGCTACTCGCCCGATCTAATTTATAAGTCGATTGTCTATGTCATAAAAATGTAATCATCTATAATCATGGGTACAAAGATCATTGTACATCTTCATACACCAGTTAAATAAATTGTGTAAATTATTTTCTCTCTTAATACGTTTATAATCCATTATCCAATTATTCTAATTTAGTATTTTTAAATATTAATATACCTATGTTATAAATGTATTAGCCTCTTGGCCTTTATCACGGACTAATATATATTATATATTATATATCTTAGACTTTAGTCCGTGGCCTTTATTAATATAACATCACATATTTACATAAACAATAGACATTATTCGCCACGCCAATTTATTATAATACTGCTACAGTGTTCGACGCTCATAAAAAAATAAATAGTCACAATATTAATTTTTCACGGTTGTGGTAATAATTTTAATCAGTTATCACTTATCAGTTACCATTGTAAACGTATCACCATTCGATTATTAAAAGTTATCTACTACAAACTTACTTAGTTAGGTACTTAATTATACTTATAGTCGATTCTTGATTGGCGAATGACAAGAAGCGAAAATGTTTTCTATTTAATATTTGTAGTTAATAGTTAATACTACTTACCTACTTATAATTGTTATTTGTTATATATGTGAGTAATAAAACTTACCGAAGTGTCTCAGTCATAAAATTATCTGTGATATTATGTTATACCAAATATACCTGTATAATATATTTTTTCATTTTAATGTAGAAATGTTCGAACAATTATAATTACCATCTTCTAAATGATAATATAAATGTAAACATTTTTAAAGAAAATTCAATTTGAATCTATTGTTTAACTTTTCAAACGTAAGTAACAACTACAAAAGTTATTTCAATATTTTTGCTAAGGATAGTATTCAACTAAACACGTTTCTCTGTTGAATAGGTTTTATTAACAGCAATAAATATGTTTGCTTCAATGTTTAAATCTGTCTTTAATAAATCTGGTAAAAAAGCCAAGAAGGAAGTGGAATCTGAACTAAATAAAATCACGAAAGAAGATGTAAAGGACATACTTGCTTCTTTGAATGAGATTAACGTTGACGGCAAAGACATTTTAGATAACAATGTTAGTCGTTCCGTGTCGTTAGATAATATTATTGATGGTATCGAGTCAATGCCTATTGATGATGCAAATCCAGTAGATTTGAATGATAGTGCTTTAGTTGACAATTTTGATGACACTAAAAGTGAAGTAAGTTCTATTGGAGAAAACCAACTATCGTGTGAAATAGTTGAAAATTCCGACAAAACCAATACTGCAAACAAAATTAACAATCTTCAGTGTTTATTTACATGGAACTTAAAAGCAAATAACAAGAAAAATATGATTTCATTGATACATAATAAATATGGAGAATACAACTTAAATATATCTTCATCAGAGTTTACATTTGAAAGGTAGCTAATAAAACCAATATTTAATCTTCTACTTTAGGTATATTCTTTATTTGTATTTTAAACACAAGTAGCTTCAATGTTGGCTTGGGTGTTTGTGTAAAACAAATATAAAATAAAAATGAATAATCCCATTTAATGTATATTTATTATTGATAAATACAGGGTGTCTTTACCCATTAGGAAATCTTCTGAAATAATGGAGTTATCATAGTTCTGCTTTTTAATAAAACTCACATGGACAAGAACTTCAAGTATTTTATGTTTTAATTTAAGAAAAATTGCTAATTATTTAATACCATAGTGGTATTAAACATGTGGCCTGTGTGCTTGTTTGACCGGCAAACGCTTTCAGTGCAATTTTACTTGTAACTAGAAAAAATATTATAAATTAAGAGTTAAATGAAAATAAAATGTTTAAACTTTCAATTTTTCAGAAAAATTAACCTAACAAAATGGTTAATTTTAATTTAATTGAAAAAAATTAATTTTTTCACTTTTTCACCAAAACATTAAAATAAATTAAAACATGAAATATTTGTAGTTTTTTTCCCTATGAGTCTTATTAAAAAACCAGGATTATGATATCTCCATTATTTCAGGAGATAACGCAATGGATAAATTATGGGACACTGTATTGTACAAATACTAAAATACATAATGTGTATGAATAAAATACCAATCTATAATATAAATAATTTGTTTTGATTCTTATGTTTAGGTATGTAGGTAATTTAATTATTGGCTATGAACTGTTCCATAAAGGTGAATCCGAATTAGGACAAATGAAAATATTAGAAATTGGGAAATGGCTTGAAGAACTAGATAATGGTACTGATGAATTTTATTTATCCATCAATATTGGTCTTCAACATGTTATGAAGGCAACTTTTATCCATATGTTATTTGCTGCAAATCTTACTGGAGAGTGTCAATGGGTATGTTATTATTTATAAATTAGGATACTTTTATTTTAAGAATATATAATTTATTTTGATAAATTCAATTTTTATTCAAATTATTAAGAAAAAAATGTCTGTATTATGTTGAGAATAAAAACTAAGTTATTACTTCAATATTCTTAAAAAAAAAATATTGAAATAATTTCATTGTACTTTTTTATTGCCCTACAACTATTTTTTTTAGCATTGATTTGAAAATATTGGAAATCAGGGGTTTAAGTCGGAACCTTTATGATTTTATCAGTTTTGGATTTTAGAAAAATAAAAATATTGGTTCAGTTCTTCAAGTTTAAAAATGTTTTTTTTGAGATCAATTTTTACAAATATCAATTTACACATGTTAACAAATAAACTTTTACTACTAATTATAAACAATTAACAAATGTACCTATATGATCAGCAGGGCTCGTAAGTTCATGCATTTGCATGTTTTTTTTGCTACATAGAAAAATATGCTAACTGAGATACAAATCCGTTTCATAACAATAGTAATAATAATATGAAGTTTAATAGTGCATGTTTTTGCATGTTTTGGGTGTAAAGGCATATTTGGCATATAATCGTTTTTTTTTAGAGTTTATAGCGCATATTATTTCATAAAAAAATTGTTTAGAAAAATATTTAAAATGTTTCTTGTTTCTTATTTACTTTCTCGTTTACTGAATGATAGTGTTTTGATTTATTTTTATTTTCGTGTGACTACTTACTTTTCTAGTATTTCCCTATTTAGATTTTATGCGTTTTACTTAGTACTGCGGAAACAATTTTATAGCTAAAACTACCATCATCCGCCGTGTATAGTCCCTCGTCGAAACGATACCTGTACAAGCATGTAGACCTGTACAATGTTTCTTACCAATCCGCATCTACAATTTTGTTCTCTGGTACAGTATAGTTTTCTTCCACACGCCAGTCGCCGATGTGTTGATTAACTGTACGAGTCGTGAAAATGTCAAATAACTAATATTTCATTCCAAATATTTTCATTGTAGGTGCAGGATAATGGTGTACCAAAATTAGACAAAAAATGACTACCTAATTAAAATTAATAAATATGACAAATCCACATGATTATCAGATTACCTATATGAACTTCACAAGTATTCATTTTATCAATTTTGATTGTTAAATATATAAAAAATAAAAGGAATAAAATACTTTTAAAATTAATGGATATATTTTTATTATTTTAAAATTTGCTCATAAATATTTTACATAATGCATATTTTGAGTTCATAATTTAAAAATGCAAGGGCATTTAAATGCATATTTTCGAACTTTTTAGTGCATATTTTAATGCATATTTTGCTAATTTTTAGTGCATGAATGCATGCATGCTTATTTGTGCTCTTTTTAGTGCATGAACTTACGAGCCCTGGGCATTACCATGGTAAAAACGTTTAATACTATTGTAATTTTTCAGTTGTTGGATGATATTATACCATTGTATAATATGGATTTTAAATCAAAAGCTGCTGTACATGCAATACGTGCAGCTGTATTTACTGAATATGGTGGAAGTCCTCACATTTTCAAAAGAGCTTGTGATAGTGCAAAAAAAGCATGTGATTTAGATCCTAATACTTCACTTTGGTTTTATATTCATTCAATTGCTTTAACAACTCAAAGGCAGTTTTTACGGTCACATAAATCAAATCCAACTGATAATGAAATAAATGCTATTCAGCAAGCAATTATGTTGTCAGATGGAAAAAATACTGCTTTTAACTACCATAGAATGATATTAGATAAAGATACTGCAATTCGATATTTTCATGAAAATAAAAATAATCCTGATAAATCTTGGATTGATAAAAATCGGCAGGCGAATAAAACAATTGTTCAAATGATTAAGTATGTAAATAAAAAAAATATTAATTAGTATCATAGAAATATAGACTACTATGTGCATGTATCATTAAATACCTATAGACTAATGTTGAGATAATTCTTCCATTTTGTAAGTGTAGATTATATTTCATATTAGTTAAACTGTAGTCACCCCTATCTATTAGTCCGAATAAGTAACTCCAAAACCTAGAATCTATACTCTGTTCACAATAAGAATACAACTTGTTCGTGCATCTCCCACCCTGCGCTTAGACCTCTAGCGCTGGAATAGTGGTGGGAATGCCCAAGATTTGTTCTCTAGTTTTGGTTGCTGCCCAGTTGTGTTCTAATCATGAATAGAGTATAAATATTAAATTCTTCCAATGCTATTTAGTTTACAAAATGTTTTGCTAAGAGTATTTATACACAATCAATTGGAATCTTAAATTGTAGTATGTCTTTACTCAGGGCTAGGCAAGGGGGGCTACCGTTATTATAAATACAATAATAAGTCAAGTTGATGAGCAAAAAAAAAATTTTTAACGGGTTAATGATTAAAGATGTCAGACCCAGTGTGTTTTTAGTATAAAAAAATGTTTTACAAGAAAAACTATTACGCCCTATAAAATAAATTGTTGGATTCAGTTAATTTTTTTAAAATTAAATAAGAGAACATTTTGCTGGTTGAATTAAAGCCCAATTTCAAAATTAAAATTATAGAAGTTAAACCATGCATTTGAATAATGTACAATATTTGTTAATTTTCATAGGTATTTTTCTAGCTCTATAGTAAAATGAAAGTTTGGGCTTTGACCCAACCTAAAAAAAAGTTTTCATCTTTCAAATGAAAATGAATTTTCAATCAAAATTTGACCTATAAATGCGTGAGGGTTTTTCCTGTAGTAATTTTTGTTGATATAATTCACCATATACCTAAAACCTATATAACCTCCCTTAAATAGGTATCGGGCAGTAGATTAGTGGATGATTATTATAATTAAGTTAAAAACTAAAATATAAATTCATTTTCAAAGCTGAAATTTATAATAAAAAAAAAGTAAAAACTATCTTGAAAGCATCCTGTCCCAAGAAAAATATATTAATTGAGTATAGCTAAGGTATATTTTTCTAATGGAAACAAATTGCTGACCAAATAAAATATAACAATATTATTGGCACATTTGCTGATTAAAAAAGCAAGAAGGTTAATTTATAATACATTTTTTTCTTTCTATATTATCTATATTAAGTGTAAGTAAATGATGTGTTGTGGTATACATTAATTTCCTTATTCATAATGTTGTGTGTACCAAATACTATATATTTTTAGTCTATTTGGGTCCTTGCCCCATTATAAAGGAGCATTTGACTGTAATGTAATTTAAGGCCCCATGAGTTTACTTTGCTCCGAGCCTCACAAATCGTCATGGCGGTCCTGTACATATTTCATACATTTTTACAGATGTCAATATTAGAAGTTAGGTTAGGCTATTTGTGATTAATTACAATATTTTATGTGTATGTATATTTTTACTAATAAATCCATGAAATTAATTAGGTTTATATGTTAGAATAAGGTTAAAACAAAATAATTAAAAGAAGCAAGTGTCATCAGTGGGTGGCTTCTTCATTCAAAATTTCATTCTTCCTTGTCATTAGCTCATACTCCGATTGCATATAGATTGTGTATATATTAATAAAGACAAAAAAAGAAGGTTTATATGTAGTTTAATTTGAAAAAAAAATTAAATTATAATGTGGGTACTGATTATAAATTATAACAACAATTATGAACATATTTTATAAATTTAAGATATAGGTATTTAGAAGGAGTTTTATTTAGGTTTCCTTTTCCTTTTTTTTTTAATATAGTTAATTATTTAATTATTTTAGAACCATAATGAGCATGGATCCAAAAGACCCTCACTTGGTAGTTAAGTGTGCTAGAACATTAATGACTCTTCCAGTTATGGTCCGTGATTTTAAATTGGGAAAACAATATTTGACAAAAGCCTTTGAAATGGCACCAAATGATGTGACTGTTTTAAAATCTATTGAAAAAACAGTTGAAATTTATAAAGAAGTTGTAATTATATTCAGAAATAATATTCATAATATGATGTTAAAAGAATTTTTTTTTTTTAGTCTAAAAAACAAAGACCTGGCAGAACAACTGAACCAAAACAAAATCATTCGTCACTGAAGAACAGAACACCAAAATTAGGAAATGATTTAGGATTTATTGTAAAAAAACAAAAGAATGGGGAAGATCCTATTCCTTACCTCACTAATTTGATTTCTAAGTATGATGGACTTGATAAATCAAAAATTATAGCTCAACTATGTTCGTACACAGTATTATTCACAAACAATTTAAAATCTGGCGTTGAAGAGTTTATAAAGTTAATTGATCAACCAAGAATTGCAAATCATTTTATAATTACGGTAATAATGTTAAATTAGTATAATCATTATAATTTATAAATTAATATAATTTTTATTTGGCATTTTAAATTATATTTTCTTTTTAACAACATTATTTACTAAAATTATTTTTTTGTAAATAATTATGTAGTAATTGAAGATATTTTTTGTTATTCATTTATAATTTGAAATTAATCTCATTTTCTACCATTCATTTTTTCAAAATATTTTTATTTATAATGAAAATAAAAAGTGTCTTATAATATTTTTATTTTACATTCCATTTTATGTTGCTTTGTAAATGTTAACCAATTTTCTTATTGTATAATTTTTATTTGTTTTAGCAACATATTTCATCATTTGGTTCAAAGAAATTTCACTTAGCAGAACTCATTTGTAATGAAATTAGATTGGCTACAAATTCAAGTAGTACTGCTCCTGAGGATATGTTGTACTTTTTTAAAATGTTAACGAAAATCATGGAAACTTGTAACTTACAAATGAAAGATGTTGATTCTTCTTTGAAGGCTAAGCTAATTATTAATTCATCCTCCAAATCGTCATTCTCTAATACAACTGATCAAAGTGAAACAGGTTCATCAGATAATGAGAGTGTTGAACAAGTTTTAGTTAAACGTAGAACTAAAAATCGTAAGCCAAGGAATTTGCAAAATACGACTCCTAGAGTATTTACTCAAACATTTGAAGTAAATAAAGGACCAAATAGAAAAAATAATAGGTCCCCTAGTAATATTTCCTCAAGAAATCATCAAAGCCAAAACACCGCAAACTCAGCTGCGATCGATCAAATGCAATTAAAAATGTTAAAGTTTTTAAATGTTTCTTCTGCTGAAGGTCCAAGGTTTTTCGATAATAATTATTCCAATATTTTATCAACCGAAAACCTCAGAAATGTACAAACACAATCACAAGTAGAACAATATACCCACCAGTTATATCAACATATCTCAGCTAATAATAATACTCATCAGGATCAGAGAAATGTACCTGAGACTTCAGCAGGATATTATGGTGGGCATAATAATCCACCATTTTCAAATTTTAGCTCTATGCCGCAATATTCTGGATTTCAAAATCCACAACCACCTTCATTATTAAATTTGAGACCTCAAATTAATCTACAGGACCCACAACCTCGTTGGCAAAGACCAAAGAAATGGTCTCCCAGAAACCAAAAATAAATAAGTTGACTGATTTATTTTTATTTTTTCATTGATTCAATAAAATATGTAAGTGTCTTAATATGTTGGTAATTCTAGTATGTAAGCAGTTTTTTTTAACATCATTAAGATGTATCAGCGCCTATAAGAGTTTTGTTATGAAAAAATATTAGTAAAAAATAATTTTTTTCTTTCAAGATCTTAATTTATAAACATAACTTATTGCTAATAAGTTATGATAGTTTCTATGTATAACTCCTCATAACATAATATGTTAACTATTTTTTTTACTTCAATAAGTATTTACTTTTGTTGATAAAGTAATTTAAGCAAACTTCAGTTGTTATTTGTTATTCATTTTGTGTAAAGAATATTATACAGTTTATTATTTTATTTACTATTTAAATAGTACTAAGCAACATAAACTTTTACTCATATTATCCAAAAATATTATTTTATATTTTAAATCATTCAAGGTTTTATTGTTAGTGTGATTTGTTTTGTACTTTAAATCATTTCTAAATTCTGAGACAAATTTGGAAACAAATTCCAAATAACATTTTAACCTTAGGGTTTTCATTATAACTAATTTTTAAATTTCAATATCATAAAAAAATATAATTTGTAATGTATTGAATATAAAATACTTAAATAATATTTTTTTTAGTACCAGTAAAAAGTTATAATTAACTAGGTACCATTGGTTAAACTCATTATAATTAAAGAGTTCTGGTGTTAATATTTTATACTTAATTAATTCTTTAATACTTGTTGTCTATTTTAATGTTTGTTCATTGGATGAATATATTTTTAAACAATACTTTTATTTATAGCTTATTTATTTATGTTTATTTCCTCATATGTATTAAGTGAATTATGTTGTCTTATAATCATTCTGAATAATTATGAATCACAAGTTATATGTGAACAATAGAAATTTCAATTATGGTAACAAACAATATATTTTTATATTGATTAACTACAGTTTTTTATAATTCCATTTATATCAAAATTGTTCTACTAGTAGAAAAATAATTATTTTACATTTAAAATGTAAAAACAAATTTGATTTAAAATTGTCAATGTACAACTATAGCTGTCAGGGTACTAAATAGTGTTATTCTCGTGTTATAGACTAGGGCTATTTAATCAATTAAACTAAGGTTGGTCCATATGGTCACAATATGACTTGTTAGTTATAATAGCTACTACTACTATAGAACTATCATATTATCATACATGAAAATACAATAGTCGCAATTGTTTGATAACTTCTATCAGCCTGCCCTCACAATTGTACTTTTATAATAGCAACTTTCACAATAATGTTTCCGAGATAAGCTTATTGAAATCAATTTTTTAATCTAGCGAGTGTAGAGGTAGAAATATTTCAATATTTGTTTTTTGTATTATCTATTATAATTTATTTTATTGCGTATGCAGGGATATCTTCAATGGAGATAGCCTTACCTTGCAATTTTTTTTAACAGTTTTCAATTTTTTTAATTACAACTTACTGTAACTGAACTATTTCTTGTATTGTGTTTATGTTTATTGTGTTTGAATGATAACATAATTAATAGGTAATAATAAATTAACCAGTTACTTTTTATTGTATTTTGTTGTCCTAATATGTTGTTAAAATAGGTTTATTTTTATCTCAAGAGGACATCATATGCGCCATACAGGTACAAGTACAACCCACGACACAACAAATCAGTGGCGTAGCCAGGGGGGGAGGCTGAGGGGGCTGCAACGACTACACTTGTCCGCCCATGAGAACGTATGGAGGTGACCAGAGGTCATTCCTTTACTCACGTATCTCGCTATCATTACCACTCCCTTTGCTTATTGTATCTTATCTGATGTTTTTTTTAAATTATTTCCCTTAATTCATTATTTTTTTTTCTTTTTTATTGTTCAAAATTTGTTGTTCAACGATATATCTAAATTTTTTCTAAATTGTATCAAGCCTAATGACATATTTTGATTATTTTCGACTGTTAAATGTTACAAAAATGTTCTTGTTTGTGTATATTTTCACAAAAAAACGCATATTAATTATATTTAATGTAACTCAATACATTTTTTGAACACTTTCAATACCTATACTGCCCACTAGTTAAAACTAATACTTTTCACAAAAAAAAAATTGTTTCTTTTTTTACGTACCTACCTATTAAGAGTGGATTTATATGTTTAGAACTGTATTTCAACAGAATAATGGCCCCACTGGACAGGCTCGTGTGTGATGACTGATGGCCTATGAAAAGTTAACTTGAAAAAGCAATTCAATATTTGAGTACCTACTTAAATGTATTTAAATACGGTTTTGTATGAATTTGTATCTAAAAATCAAATACCTTTATTTAAATACTTTATTCACTATCGTCTTTATTTCAATTAATTAATAATATTATTTTTTTCTAGTATTGTTACTAAAGAAGGCGTATTTAGAGGCAATATAGGTGCTGCAACTTACTGGGAAGAATACATTCAAGGCAGAGAATTGTGAGAGGCGTTTTGTAACAGTCGCAAGGCCTTTCGACGAACTGTAGAGTTAGATAAGAATATGAATAAAAGAAAGATAAAAATATGTGTTATATATTATATTATAAAGATTTCTTGCTACCTAGTCCAGAGGCTATCCATTGAATCAAAAACCTGGAGATAGGTGATCTATAGGCCCGACTTGAGACAACGTTACTTTTCATTAACTTTTTACCAACACATAATAACTATTAGTCTACCCATACAGCAAAATTCTTCTCGGGACGTCAATAGGACCATCCTAATCATGTCCTTAAGTCTACCTAATAGTATGCTTGATAAGGTCATTCTAAGGATGATCTTAGTACTACTACTACAGTCTCTAACGATTTATCTCCCATTGGTATACCGGGAGGATATTGGATAAATCCTATTTGGGAACTGGTTTGTTATAGGGCGCCACGGCGAGTGAAAACTTTAGAGCCCATATAACAATAAATACATCGTATAAATATAAAATAATGAGTTTATTTATTGATATTATAATGTTTATAATTTGACGAAAAATACGTGCTATACTGCTATTACTACTGTAGTTAAATTCATTATATTCAATTTTATTTATGTACGATCTATAAATCATTCTATTTTATATTTCATGTTTTATGCTTCAATGTTATTAGAAGTGTTCTATCCAGAGATTTTATTGTTATTTAAAATCTCTGGTTCTATCATTTACATTGATAAGTATATATTACTTACCTATCTAATAAGTAATAATTACATATGGGTTGAAACTTGTGATTGTTAGTTTTAAATTAGGTATGTACCTATAATCTACATTTATAATATTATTAACTATATAATATAAAATATTTTCATATAGGTAGTCAATATCTGTGGATAATATAAGTACCTAGTTATATAAGAAAGTTAAATACAATTATAAATTGTAATAAATGCATCAGTCATTATCAGATGTCAAAAATTAACATAAATAATTATTACACCACATAAAATATAATATTATGTATACCTGTTATATTATCTTATTTCAAATTTAGGGTCATTAGTCAACCTTCAGTCATAGAAATTAAAAAAATAATAAAACAAATTAGTGTCAACCGTCAGAGGAGTAAAAATAATGTACATATTAAGTTGTATTCTTGTGAGTTGTGACTATTATACTATTATTAAAACTGTATTATCTTATTATTATATCGAGTGATTGTGATCACCACGACCGTGGTTCAGAGTTGAAACCAACCATTCCTACCACGATATGTATTTTTAACCGTGGTAGATACAGTTACCTATACTAGATAGGTACTTATTTTCGTTGTATACCTGTCAATTGTATTTGTAAAGTCATTAATCATCAAAATACTTATATTCTGTATAAATTATAATTTATACCATTCAACATCCGTACAGGAATTGCATAAAATTAATATTAAAATTTTAAAATCATGTTCTGGAAATTGATCTGGTCCCAATCGAAATTGTATCAACGTCCAAATATGTTGTAGAATTAAGATAAGGGATTATCTTTTAGTTTTGGATAAATTAAAAAGAAAAATAGGATTTTGTGTTACTGTTAATAATTCATTATAGAAGTACATTATTTTGTAAACTCAGATATAGGAATAGGTAGTCATTAATATATTTTAGTTTATAATATTGTTATAAATTTACACAGTTCTGAACTTACCTTCACAGTAAGAAGGATGGAAAACAAAATAAATCTAAACAGCAAAAACCAGAGTGTGAGTGATGTATAATATGACATTATGACCTCCAAAACATTACAAAATACGAATACCTACTCACTATGGACGAAATGCAATTTGCTTTATGGTAACTGAAATGAACAAAAAGAAAAAAAAACAGAAAATACAATATTATAATATTCTTGTTTGGTTTGATTCGATTGATTGGTTCTATTACATTTATAAGTCTAACTTAAATAATTTAGGCAAATTATTTTTCTTAAAATGACATATATGTACTTGGCATTACGATATTACCTATCTGGCTACCTACTAATATTATGAAAGGCAAAGACAGCTAGAAGGCTGTAGATCAGGGGTGTCCAACCTTTTGCAAAGACAAGGCGACATCATATAGGTAGAAGTTGTCGTGGGCCACACACTTTTTAATAATAATACATTCAAATTTAATGATTAAATTATATTCTATAGACTATAATACAGCAATAAATTTTTTTATAATTTTACAATATCGAATAATGAGCATAAAATATTTTACAAGTATTAATATTTAATTATAATGACACGGAAAAAAATATTTATTTACTATAAAAAATATTAATAAAACTAATGTAAAATTTGAAATTGCTTTTTTTGTGAAAATAATGAATCAATATCCGGGATCGATTGAAGTTGTGACAATCCTTAAACAACTTTCAAGGTGCTCGTGTGATATAGTGTATCGATTCTTACTCTTGGTGATTTTCATTCTTGAAAACAATTGATTGCAACTCAATACATTCCATTTGAAATTTAGTTTCCACAGCAGTAACATCAACCGAAAATGATGTTGCAAAAATAGCAAAGAGTCGACTCTTTACTTATTGTAATATAAGTTATAAATAAAAAAATAAGAATATCAGTCAAGGCTTATTCTAAGAATTTTTATCAACACCACATTTTGTTTAACAAATTTTGTACTAACAAAATATTCATCGATATCTTATGTTCTTGCTAAAAATTAGGCAATGTTTCTACTATGTCTTGGCATTTTACACTTATAGATCTATTTTTTCGTGACATACAAATTATGCTTACAGGATTACCGTTTTTCTTGAAAATAATTTGAATTTAATTAATTTTATACTTTTTATTGCTTTTCTATCAGTAATTGTAAGTTCATCTTCTAATACAATTTCTCTACAACTGACTCAGTATATTTAACGTGATCCAAAACCATTATTTTAACACTTTGAATAGTTTGAACTAAGGCACCCAGAAGGGGAAGGGGGGCTGTAGGACTTGTAATACAGTTATCCGGCTATTTTAGGGGCTCGTAGAATATTTTTGAACTTTAATAGCAATATATAATATTTTATGAAATAAATATGTTTATTAAAATATATCAAATAATTTAGTTATGTGGATTAACACCATTGATTATCTAGAAATAGTGTATGGGACACCCGTATCGCTTGTAATGGGTTGTATTTTATTGGACGTTTTGTATAGGGCCCATAAAAATATTTAGTACAGGAGCCCAAAATTTGATGTGAGCGCCTCATTTGAACTACTATTTACTGTCTTATATTA